CAATGCTCCACAATGCCTGCATGCATCCATCCCAATGGGAGCCAATGCCCTGATTGCAGTCTTGCTGCCATCGTCACCTTGCCATCAACCACTGCAGGATGCAAACATCCTGGGACCCAATTGACACGGTAGTCATACTTTTCAGGGGCCATATGCTGTTGCAACTGTTYTTCAGGGATGACACGGGCCCCAATGTCCATGGCAGACAGAACGTCACTCCTCATTGDGACATGGTCCCATATCTGCGAGCATACTCCATCGTACGTGGCTTCCTGCCCTCTTGCATGCGTGTATGTGYTGCCATCCTCACCGGTGAAAACTTTCCCTTCAACCACCTCCGAGTCCACAGGGTTCCGAAGCGGCGGGAAAAAGCAGTCAGCAGTGTGGGTATTACATGCCATTGCCTTTTTYTCGTCTGCTGAGACCTCCCTGTCGAGGTGCCTGAAGGAGAAGTTTCCATTCACATAATGCGTGCTCCAGACATTTYCCATGACATCACGCATCATCATCCTCACACGGTCACATRGAATCGGGATCACACATGGCACCCAACCCCACCTAGGATCCCTCCTCGCATCGCTCTCGTGGCACGCCGTACTCTCTGTTGTGTCGTTCCCGCCAATCACCCATGCCTTTCCGCAATCAAAACTGTCGTACAAAAAATCGTTCAGCATGAACTCGCCCTGCGCCTCCAGAACACGCTACACGTCCATTGCATATCGTGCTTTCACCTCTGTTGTTGCCCCATCGTTCAACCTTAATGGTCTGTCAAACACGATTGTTAGAGTCACGTTTCGCCATGTATTCTTTTTGGGGGCAGGAAATGGAACCCATGTCCCTTCGACTTTGAACGTAAAGCAGGGTGTTCCTCCAACAATACCCGGTTGAACACGACCCGGCACCCAATTGATCTCATATGGGTACTCTTCTCCTGCTGATGTCTTCACCACATTTTCATCTTTCACAATACACCCTGTCAGAGATTCCCTGCTTCCCATACCTCCCTCCTCTCTCTCTTCCCCAACCGTTTTCGTCTCACAAGTGCTCCCTCCAGCATCATTCTCTGTTTCATCACCATCACCCATCATCTCTGCAGTCTATCCACATATTGTCGCAAGCACCTCTGCACAGTCTGCGTTGTTCCCTCCTGCAGAATTCCCTTCCTTGCTGCCGTCTACAAAACCCTTCAGAATGTTCTCCGTCTCCATGGCGCATGTCTCTCCACCGTTGACAGTTGATGCAATCGCGGGTTCCATCTATTGCATGAGATACCACATACATTTATGAGAACACGTAGCTGTGATATGCCCCCCTCACCAGAGAGAGAGAGAGAGAGAGAGAGAGAGAGAGAGAGAGAGAGAGAGAGAGAGAGAGAGGTTCACTAGTACGGGCCAGAAGGACAACAAACAGCACCGGTGGACACTGATATGGCACGCAGTAGTGAACCACTTGTGTGTCGTGAGGCATAAAGCAGCAAACATTTTGGACATAAATTTACTCTAAGCAGAAAGTAATAATACAACCAGCACTTAAACACACATCATTGTGTGTGTGTGTGTGTGTGTGTGTGTGTGTGTGTGTGAGAGAGAGAGAGAGAGAGAGAGAGAAAGGTTCACTACTGTGGGCCAGAACTCCAACAAACATCTCATGCGAGACAGGCATTGGCCCGCAGTAGTGAACCTCATGTTGTTGGACAGGGAAAGACGCAGTGACAGAAAGCGGTTCACTACTGCGGGCGAGAACGACAACAAACAGCACCGGTTGACACTGATATGACACGCAGTAGTGAACCACAAGTAGTTGGAAACGCAAAGACGCAGCACCACTGAGAGGTTCACTACTGCGGTCCAAAACTCCAACAAACATCTCATGCGAGACAGGCATTGGCCTGCAGTAGTGAACCTCATGCTGTTGGAGAGGGAAAAACGCAGCGACAGAGAGCGGTTCACTACTGCGGGCTAGAATGACAACAAACAGCACCGGTTGACACTGATATGGCACGCAATAGTGAACCACAAGTAGTTGGAAACGCAAAGACGCAGCACCACCGAGAGGTTCACTACTGCGGGCCAGAACTCCAACAAACATCTCATGCGAGACAAAAATTTGGCCCGCAGTAGTGAACCTTATGCTGTTGGACAGGGAAAGACACAGTGACAGATGGCGGTTCACAAGTGCGGGCCAGAACGACAACAAACAGCAGCGGTGGACAATGACATGGCACGCAGTAGTGAACCACAAGTATGTCAATACGGAAAAAGGTTGCGAACATTATAGACTGAAAAGTGTGAACGAAAAAGTTGTAATGCAGGCAGCAATAAACATACATAATAGTGTGTGTGCGTGTGTGTGTGTGTGTGTGTGTGTGTGTGTGTGTGTGTGTGTGTGTGTGTGTGTGAGAGAGAGAGAGAGAGAGAGAGAGAGAGATCACACGTCCCTGACCACCCGCGCAGCCACGATTGGACATCTTGTGTAGAGAGTTTTTAAGCGGTCGTTGATGTGAAGTCCTTTCCTGCAATGCTCACATTCGTTATTCCCTCCATGCTGGCCTGCGTTCGTTACGACCTGTACCATTATCTCTTTGATGTACGATATGAGATGGAACAGACAGTCCGCAACCAACCTCGCCATTTGTCGGGAATTCGCTTTTGCAACGAACTTTTGAAATGTGTCCGTCGTCATAAGCAGCGCAACAGATTCTGCATCAGCACAAGGTGCTTTGCTAGTGACGACACATGGGAAGTTGTGACGAACGTGGTGACAATTCAGTGTCGCAACATCAGTGCACGCCAGCACGGCATGCGGCGCAGGCGCGCAGTCCCCGACAGTGGTCCCAATTCCTGTGGAGGTTTGCATTGTTGTGTCGATTTCTTCACCTGCCTTCGTCCTTTCACCTTCTGCACTTCCCATGACAACTTCGTTCGCACAAGTTACCATCATTTCTCCATCCAACAACCTACCTCGTGTGGGACGTCCGAGCAACCGTTCAACAGAGACGTCATATGACAAGGAAGGTCATCCTTACCAATCGCGATACCCTCATCACAGAGACTGTACTCGTCTACGGTTTTCTTACAGTGGCGAATACAGTCTGCTGCGAAGGCCAAGAGGTCGACGACACTGCGTGACGAAGCAGTTAGCGAACCCGTATTATATTCTTGGCTATCATACGATGCCCACCCCTCCTTCAGCACACACTTTTCAGGGCTGCCACAAGATGCGACATCAAGTCCTTGTGATTTCCTGTGAGTTCTCTTTGTGACGTGGGCGGCGAACCGATTCAAGACCGTGGTGCGCCTGCGTCTTTCACCATCCAACCATGTCTGGAACTCGTTAAACGTGGTGGTCTTCGTTTCAGCTATTGCCTTCAGTCTAGCAGTCATGTCCTCCCTCATACGAGTTATGTCTAAACACTTTGGATCATCTAGCAACAACCAGAACACAGTGAACATCCTATGTTCCGCAGTTTCTGTCATTTCTACGAGCAGTGACTTACTACGGCCTAGTTCGTCTGACATTTGTCTCGCCAATTGTTTCTGCTTATGTACCTCGTTTGTTAGCCTGTCTATATGTTATCGCTGCTTCTCTACTATCTGACCCCGGTTCCGGTCCATCTCAGTCGTCTTCTCTTCTTTGGCCCCCACTAGTAGAAAGTCATTCGCCGTTGCATCACACTCTTCGCCTGACTTTCTCTTCTGTCCGGTTTTGGCCAATCTTGACATCTGAAAATATATGTACATACAGAGAAATACAGATAGATAGATAGATAGATAGATAGATAGATAGATAGATAGA